GATAGATAGACCAAGACACGAAAGGAATAATGAGAAAAATGGAAATTTTCTAGGATTTTTTCCTTGTGACAATATGCTTCAGTCCTAGTTGTATTGATAGCCCAGACGTAATTCAAGTTTGATCGTTGAGGGTAATAAGAGAGATTGATGTGTTTATACCTAGTCTTTGAAGATACCCAGAGAAGAATTCCTCAATGACCAGACATATATATCTTACATGACAGGCTTTTCTTCCTGCAGTTCGAATATAGGATTTGTTTAAAACATGACCAAATTTTGGCATTTGAATCTGTTGGATATTTTAATAAAAAATATCACATATTTATTTTGAATTCAAATAAGATAAATTACAAATTCTTTAAATAAATTTTCAGTTACAAATTGAAACATTTGAATGTGTAACTTATGGGATTTATGCCTTGCTTTTTAACTTATGTAATGATTAGGTTTTATGAAATCATTTAGTAATTTTTCCGTTATACAATGAATCTAGACTTTTCAATTTGTAACTGAAATATGAGGTGTTAATTCCTATTAATGTTGGTATTTTAATATTCCAAATTTCTTAGCCTATATATAAGGCATCTATCAACCAAACCAAATATATACTTTGCTATCTCTATACTAACTTCTATTTTTCCTCCACTACTATAAGAGTTTATAGGGCAAAGAATAGTGTTAGTGTGAGGTTTCTGTCTTGCTCCAATAGTGTAGATTGGAGTAGACTACAGTGTGCAAAAGGCTGGGCTGTTGTATCTTGGAGGCGACGTGCTGAGACCTACTACACCGGAGGATACTCCGTACGGGCGCGAATCGTCTTAAAGAGAGCGACTTGGTCCGCACCTCAACCCATGCCAAATTAACATTTTTAATGCAAATGCATTGAGGTATGAATTTTGGTTAATTTATTAGAGAAATTATTGTTACTTATATGATTTATTTTGGTCTAGAACCAACAATTTTAAGACGATATTGCTCCTATTTAAAAGTTTATTACTTTAATGTGTACGATCTCATAGTTTTGAAGTATGCCTAAAAGACTTGTATATGAGTATTTTCTTGGTTTCGATTTTCAACGTGATTGCCAAAAAAAAAAAAATGCTGTACAAAAGTACAAGTCTTATGACATTATAGTTCAAACAATGGTAAACCAGTAGGCCATCAACTTGAATTCAACTACAATCGAGATACACTAAACACAATGCATGTATAACTTGAAGTCAAGTTCAATTTCCAAGTCTGTAGGCAGCCTCATTTTAAACAATGGTGATCTCAAAATATATGAATGATTTTGCAACTATTTAGTTGTTGAATGTGTGTGATTTGTACCCAATAAGATGGCTCTTATGCTTATGTACTACTTTGAGTGTATATCATTTTGAGTACCTAGAACACTATTTCTGCACTATCTTAACATATGAACTCCATGAGTAGTCTTGAATGAATAATTGTTAGAAATAGTGGGGGTATGTAATTACATGATTACATTCTTCAATTGAGTGCATGACTATGACACGTTGAAGAATAGTGGTATCAGGATGTATATAAAAAAAAAAACTGCAATTATGAGGGTTCAAGTTATATTTAAATAGTGGGGGTTTAAAATTCTCTAGTTTTGTCTTGAATTCATATGATATTAGTCAAGCTTAAGGTTTGCATTTTCACAAGCAATAAATGGTATTGACAATACATGAAGAAAAGATTATACTGTCACCAAGGAAAAATTATATACGTGGATAATAGCTTTGGTGGCTTGAAGTTGTGAAATATAAAGTTATTAGCCATATAATTCTATTCTCTTGACTTGTATTTTGTTAAAATTGTGAATATGAACTTTTGAGTTGAAAATGTGATATTGTACATTGAAAAATATGTATTCGAGTCAAAGGCCATCAATTTGCAGGCAACCAACAATTTTTTTTATTTCATGTTGTTTGCTATGTGGCTGTCTTTGCATTTAATGAAAATTGGAATACTTAATTTCCTTGCCAAGCATGACTATAGTAAGACTATGCTTGGATGGAAACGCGGACAGTGGATGTTGACTAAGCTGGTAGCTATGAATTTTGAAACTCTTGAGATTTTTCATTATAAGGCTTGCATTACTTGCAAGTTGAATTTTGAAATTAAAACATAATAGTGCATTGACTATTATATTTTTTGAATTTTCATAATCTCTAATTTGAGTTGTGCAGATTAAAAAGTGAGGCGTGATTTGGATAGATTTGAATTACTTATGAAGTTTTCTTGCAAAAGAAAATTCATTGAGGACTATGAGAGTGGCGGGTTACTAGATTACTAGCCACTGAGAAGATTACAGAAATGATGGAAATTAATGTGGCTTTGCTTGATGTGAGCAAATATATGCCCATTCTATTTGCTCAATTTGTGAGTATAACATAATTATTGTTTTTTGAATCTATTCTAACTTTATTTTGAGTAGTGTAGACGAGCATTCACTGAAAAATATGACATGAGGTGAAGGTACTTGAAATATTTTTTGATATTTTTGCAAAAGTAAAAATAATCATGGAGTTTTTTGAGAATGGCTTCTAGTGCATCACTAGACTACTGGCCATAGAAAAAATTAAAAAAATTACTTATGAGTAAATATATGCCTACACTATTTGGCAAAAATATATGGATGAGAAATTTCTCATCGAAGATTGGTTCCATGTATTTGGACCACTAAGCGATTATTTGAAAAAATTCGAGAATATCATATCTTTGTTATTTTATTTGTGTTGAAAAAATAAATCTCAAGCTTGAGTCAAGGATATGATACACATCGAGAGGGATAAGACAAAAGTCTAATATATGTTAAAAATCACCTATGAGGATACAACCACCTAGGGACTGGAGATCCCAAGAACTAGGTCAGAGACAAACGAATTATAGAGTGATTTGGTTGATTAATATGCACTACTTTGATTATATTGGCTATCCCTATGATGTAAGTGCATTTGTGATCCTATGACGATAAGTGAGGTTGGGATTTTTATTCCCTTAATGAGTTCTATAGCCCTTATGGGTGGGATGTCTAAGTCATAGGAGCATCCTTGATAGACTCACCTATATGAGTGTGGAAGTAGAGCCGCTTCCTATGAGAATTTGGGCTGGTTCTTTAGAGCACTCATGAAAACCGGGATAAAGCACAAGGCCATAAATGTGCTGGCTTATGAAACCTATTTTAGAACACTGAAAGGTTCATGTGTGTGATACGATTTCACGTGCCTTCAAATAGTCATCGTTTAAAGGCTACGTCCACTTTGACTCTAGCACGGGAATTGTTGAGCACTAAGTGAAGGTTTAAAGGCATTGCCACCTTCATTATGCATGAATTTTTAATCTTTGCCCTATTAAGTGTTAAGTTTTGAATATTATATTTTTTTATTAAAATAAGTGGGGGATTGTTGGATATTTTAATAAAAAATATCACATATTTATTTTGAATTCAAATAAAATAAATTACAAATTCTTTAAATAAATTTTCAGTTACAAATTGAAACATTTAAATGTGTAACTTATGGGATTTATGCCTTGCTTTTTAACTTATGTAATGATTAGGTTTTATGAAATCATTTAGTAATTTTTTCCGTTATACAATGAATCTAGACTTTTCAATTTGTAACTGAAATATGAGGTGTTAATTCCTATTAATGTTGGTATTTTAATATTCCAAATTTCTTAGCCTATATATAAGGCATCTATCAACCAAACCAAATATATAATTTGCTCTCTATACTACCTTCTATTTTTCCTCCACTACTATAAGAGTTTATAGGGCAAAGAACAGTGTTAGTGTGAGGTTTCTGTCTTGCTCCAATAGTGTAGATTGGAGTAGACTACAATGTATCCTGGAGTAGATTGGCTGGGCTGTTGTATCTTGGAGGCGACGTGTTGAGACCTACTACACCGGAGGATACTTCGTAGGGGCGCGAATCGTCTTAAAGAGAGCGACTTGGTCCGCGCCTCAACCCATGCCAAATTAACATTTTTATGGTACAAATTATTTGCATTTTTAATGCAATATTGAGGTATGAATTTTGGTTAATTTATTTGTTAAAATTTATTAGAGAAATTATTATTACTTATATGATTTATTTTGGTCTAGAACCAACAGAATCAAATTTCATATCCTTGTTTCTAAATTACAAGTTTGAAGGTTATTTTATGCGCGCTTATGCAAATTGTTATTGTTTTCAGATCCTGGCTATGCTGGTGCAATATCTCTAAAGGCATGCACTCTCTTTAGTTACAGTTGCAATTCTTTCTACTTTTTTTTTCCTAGTTCGACCGGTCAGATTTAATATGTTCCATACTCCAACTAAATAAGGGCCGGGCACTCTCTTTAGTGATTTTGACAAGTGTACTCTTTCCATTATTGTTTGGGAAAGGAAGAAGAAAGAAATACTCCCTCCGTCCCACTTTGATAGTCTTGTTTTCCTTTGTCGTTTGTCCCAAATTGTAGTCCACTTTCCCATTAAGAAATGTAGTAATCTTTCAAATTGTCTAAAATACCCTTATTAAATATCTTGTTATTAATACATTGTTATTAAATACTAACCCACTACATTGAATACATTGAACTTTTCCAATACTAACCCATTAGTTGTAACTGATATTAATTGGCACTCTTCGTGATTAGCATAAGGGTATTTTAGGAAATTATTAATCTAAATTTATGTTTCCAACCAAATTAATTACACTTTCTTAATCTGTGTGAAAAAAAAACTAAGACTAACAAAACGGGACGGAGGGAGTAAAAAATGTGGGCCAAGAGTTGGTTAGTTATCTTGTGCTTTCATTGAGATGTTGAAAGTCTAACCCAATTTCAGTACCAAGAAAAAGTGCAGCATTTAGTTCGTGTATCATTTTATCTCGCAGAGCCCGACGAACCTTTAATCATTTAACTTGAGTTGATCAAAGCGGTGGTTTGCAACGTAATTCTGAGTTTGGAGGGCTTAATTGAGACGTAATCACTTTCTATGGAGTGCCAAATCAAAATTCTCCTAAATAAATAGATGGCAAGCAAAAGTTTTTTTACAAACTTGCTCAAATCTTTTCAGTCTGCACGAAATTAACATGAATAAACAAGTGCAGTGCTTAAGATTCTTGCCCTCTATAAGAAAGTGAATAACGAATCAGATAATACATATAGTCGAATATCACATATGATGTTTCCAGGAGCACAAGGGCCACCATACCAAATATAAAGAAGAGCAGCACGAGGGGTCTGAAGTTGGTAATCACGACTTTCAGCACTATTAATGCTTGGCAACATGCTGTGATTGTGAAGCCCGCGGAGTAGAAGATGGAAATAACGTCGAGCACATAGTAGAAGGGCAGGGAAACATAAAAATCCTCAGTTTCAAATCGCATAAAGATAATCACAAGCAGAGTTCCCATGGTGAACAGAGAGGAGAACAGCCCTCCAGCTAAGTAGTACATCAACAAGCTGAATTCCCAGTGCCGCTTCTTAAGAAAAATGGGCTCTCCACTCTCTTGATCGAAACCTCCAGGTACAGTAAAAATTGCAGCAAAGTTTATGGTACCAATGAGGACAGACACAATCAACACAGTGTTGGCCAGTTCTCTCACAGTTTTCTCAGCCTTTTCGCGTACACTTGCATGGTTCGTCTCGAATACTTGTTCTGCTGTCTTCCCCTCAGAATTTTGTAGTTGCCAGAGATATGGATAACAGTCATACTGCACTCGCTGTGGAGACAAAGCTCTATTATAAGTTGCTAATGGTCCTGAGGAGAAAATTAAACAATATACAACAGGCAATGCAATATTGGTAAATTTTAATTTGTTACCTTAAACCAGAGGACATCCCACATCATTTGGTGCATAAATCCATGGGGGGTGCTGGGAGGGGATCCCAGGCTTGCTGCGAGATGTATAATGCTATTTCCTTTATAATCAATAGCACTTAGCATCCTATCCTTGTGAATGCCACTAGTCATCAAGTAGTCGTACAATAACCATTTTTTCTCCTCCACTGCAATTTGCAGTATATTCCTTCCTTTCTCATCGACGGTACACACAGCTTCAGGGTAGACACTCAGGATTTCCTGAGCTACCTCAATGATGCCAAGTCTCGTTGTTTGTATTAGTGGATCTGGCATCCTATTTTTCTGTTCTGATGATATCCCAAACTGGCTGCCTTCAAGATCTTTGTCCTCTGTATGCACATAGTGGCTCCAATATTCTCTTCTGATTAACCTTTGTGCAAGCATTAGTGCAACTGCATGTCTTTGCTTTGCATCATCAATTTCTTTAAGCAAAGGATTACCTAGAGGGCAAATACATCAAATTGGATAAACCATTAATGAATAACTCCAATGTGCGCAGATTTGGTCAGGGAGATGCAGAAATAGTACTTCAAGATCCATTACATGTCCTAGGCTTTTTGTTCTTCTTAGCATCTGTTATTTTGGCACAAATCTTCTTGGTTCTTAAGAAGAAATACTTTGAGGAAGTTCAATTGGCAGTAATGAATTTCTAGACTTGCGATTGCTTGTTTATACTTTTTTCTACAACATGCCGATGAATAAAAGATGTGTGAAGTAAAAGGAAATTGAAGACAGCACGCAGGCCTAGCTGAATTGCACTTGAAAACAAAATTCTTACGTTGTTTAGGCATGAAAAAGAAACAAATTTACTCAAAGGAATAAGAGGTTCTTGTAACAACGAAGCTAGGCTAGACAAGACTATGCTTCAACTCTCAAAAAAAGAATTTGGGGAAACAAAATTTTATCAACATATTCTATCATCACTAGCATGAGAGCATATGGAGTAGATTACCCAAGATAAACTTGACAAAGCGAGATCTGTTCAATTTATGAATGGAAGCTGAATTGCTTGGTTCTTCAGCAATATGGACAGGTCGCAATTCCTTGTACAAGACTGGAATACCTGCCAGCAGCACAATGAACTGATAATATCACTCTTTCAAAATTCTGAGTGCATTTTAAGCCTGCTTCCTAGAAAAAAAAAACCAGATGGCAGATAAAATGGTAGTTCAAATTGCATCTCCAAAGATCCCACAACCATTAAACACTAAATTGGATGATTTTTAACAAGGTTTCCAGGCTAAGCACAAAAGCATGTCCCCAGGACATACTACACTAACAATTAGTTGCAAACTTTTGTCTCCCAGTGTCGGAGGGAATAATCATATGCTTGGTAAGATCTTGATGGATTTCAAAACCATATCACATTCAACCGAATGATTATTGTCAATTTGCCTAATCAACTTGACGGGTAGGATACTTAAGTACTTAAAGAAATTTGAATGTCTCTTAAGACTGGGAAAAGTCTTATGTTGCAACACTTACAAGAATAGATTATAGGTCGGAGTATATGCAGAGGAATGAGGGACTTCCTCCCAAGATCTTTGAGCGTAAATGCAGAACCACTCCGGAAGGACTCTGGTTTTGCAGCCAAAATATGTAAAGCAGTTTTTCCTTTTTCATTACGTTTGCCAGCAAGATCAGGATACGACTCCAATATGCCAATTGCCAAACCTGCTGATACAGTAGAGTGAAACATGTAGGAAGCAGTAAACTTGAAAAGGACTAACATATAATGCAACAACATCCCACATCATATTCGACCAGCATAGACCTAGACAAAAGATAAGATAGCATAATCTGATAAACTGAACAAACATTCGAATTCAGCCAAAAACTTGACTGCTTTTGCAGAGGCAATCAAAATTTTACTCGATAGAGAAGCTTACTGTAACATTCTCCAATTACAGCAGCATGAAGGATTGTGCATCCGTCATTCCTCCTCATCATACAATCACTAATATGCCATCCGTCATTCCTCCTCATCATACAATCACCGATATGCTTTTCCAGGAGTGAGAAAACTTCCTTTTTCCCACATGCCGCAGCCACAAAAAGAGGGGTTTCACCCAGTTTGTTGCTCTCAGACACTAAATCGTTTTCTGTCCTTAACATGATCTCTGCAACATCCTTGTGGCCAAATCTTGCAGCTTCATGCAATGCAGTGTCGCCATTGACATTCTTTGCCTTCAGAGTTTCACTAGTCACAAGACCATCTTGGAGAAGTAATTCGAAGGCAGCCGCATTTCCGTGAATGGCCAGAAAATGGAGAACAGTATCACCACATTTAACAAGTGGTTTCACACTTTCTTCCTTCCAGAAACTGCGAAAGTTTTCTACTGACCGTCTTTTCCCCTCTAAGACTGCTCTAAAAGCAGCAGATCGATTGCTGCGATCATCGTTGATTCTTGAGCTTGCCATTTTGGATAGGTATAAAAAAAATTTCTTCTAGATTATTATGAGAGCGCTATATCAAGTAATCATCCATATATGTAGGCCCAAAAAATATTTTACAATGTAATAAGCCTCTCAGATCAAATATAAGCCACAAGACTTTCTTGACTATATATGAATGAGCAAAAGAAGAAAAAGACAAAATAAATCCCGAAACCCGAAAACATAATAGAAGAAACGGAACTCGGAGGTTTTTCTTACTAACACTCTAAATCTTTTCTCTCTCTTACATCGATAGATAAAAAATTATAGTCTTTATATAAACTAGCAAGTGTCAAAATCCTATTGGGATTCAAACTACCAAAACATACTAATAACAGGAAATCACAACTAAACAACAAAATAAGTAGTTTTCTAAATAAATAAATAAATCCTAAAAACACTTGATTTAATAATCCTACATTGCCTACTTTAAATCAATGTCTTCAAGCATCTTTTTTAACTTAAGAACCGCTCCACCTTCAGTGGTTTTGTAAAATATCCACCATTTGATCTTCACTATTGCAATAATTAATGGCAATCTTTTGATCTTGATCTAGTTTACAAATGAGGTGAAACTTGATATCAATGTGCTTGTTTCTTCCATGAAATACCAGATTCTTTAACAACTCAATTGCAGACTTGCTATCATAATAAATCTTGGTAGAACTAACTTGTTCATGTCGTAAAAAATCAAACATTCTTCTCAAACATAATGCCTGAGTAGCACTATATGCACTTGCCATATATCCCACTTCAGCTATGGATAATGCCACAACATGTTGTTTTTCTAGAAATCCATGAAAATACACCTTTGCATAAATAAAAGGCATAACGTGACGTACTCCTTCTTTGAATCATATCACCAGCCCAATCACTGTCTGTAAAGCCAATAACACTAGAATTGTTAGCATATGCATAAAAGATACCATCAGATTGTGTACCTCTAATGTATCTTAAAATCCCTCTTAGCCGCCTCCCAATGTGATTGGCATAAAGATTCCATAAACCTATTAATTAACCTGTTGATCTTAATCCTTAGTTTTTTATGTTTACAAAACAAATGGATGATACTAATATCTCTTCAAGATATACTTTCAGTTATGAAGCAAATCAGATTTAAAGATCAAGTGCAATTGAAAGAAACAAAGGTTGCTGAAAGCTGTCGGACACTTGTGAAGACAGGATCAGACGTCCGATAATCATTGCGCAACTTTGGATACATGAAGAACTCCATCACCGGACATCTAAAGGAAATAAGACATTTCCCCTATCTCACTGACCTCGATCGAATGCAAGCATTGGACATCCGATAGAATCCTTCAAACTCTTTGTTTGCTATCGGACAGAAATACCGGACGTTCGATAGGATCCTTCAAACTCGACGAAAGCTGCCGGACGCTCACAAAGACAATACCAGACGTCCGATAGAATTGAGATATTTCTTCTAACTCATTGTCTGCTTTCGGATGCAAGTACCGGACGTTCGCTAGAATTGAAAAAGATTTTTCAAACTCACTGCCTGCTGTCGGACGCATGCTTCGGATGTACCGGACGTCTGATACTCCCAACAACTAGTTGACTCTTCAGCTACTTTCTATCCGTTGGAAGTATTAATGAAGTACTTTCTTGGCCTCTTATAAATAGAGCATGATCAGAAATTTCAAATAATTTTTGCACACTGAAGATACAAAAGATCTAGAATAGTTTTAGTGAAAAAACACTCACCAAAAAAGATTTGTAGTTTTGGTGGTGTGAAATTCATTGTAAGTTTTTCATTTGTGAGTGAATACTTCAATAGTGTAACTCTGAGAGGGTTGTCATGAGGGATAGTAAAACTTCCTAACCTGACCGAGTGAAACTTGGGGCAAGAAGGAAGTGAACCTTCCTTTGTACACAAGATTGGTTGTATTTCACCAACTTGAAGAAACTTGTTTTGTAAATTGAACTTTGAGCTCAAGAGGAGTTTGGTAGTCAATTTGTTTGCAACTCTTCCCTTCTTATTTATTGATTATTATCTTGTGATTCTTAAATTGCATATCTCTTCTACTTCTCTCAAGTGATATTATTCCTTCATTAATTGATTCATTGTATGATCGTTTAGAAAAGAGGATGAATTTCATATTAAGCAAAAAAGTACCCATAATCTGATTAGTTTCTTAATCAACCTAATTCACCCCCTCTTAGGTTGTTTTCGATCCTTACAATTGGTATCAAAACTTGACCTCCTAGTGATTAAGCTCAAGCGATTTAGGAGTAAAGATGACAACCAACAATATCATGTTTTTTGAAGGACAACTTGTGATTGGGAAAAATGCACTTTTTATCCTCAAAGTTTGGACTGTTGACCAATTTCATCCTCAAAGGTTCACCTAAAACACATTTCATCCTCAAAGTTATGTAATTTTGGCCAATTAAGGACAATTGACGGGAAATAGAGAAATTGGCGTTAGACCCAACTGTTAACCCAACAAAAAATGGGTTAAACCGAATGGAGTCTTTTTTTAACAGAACAAAAATTGTTACAACAGACCAAAACCAACATTCTTCTCCTTCTTCCCTCTGCCTTTCTGCAACCCCAAAATTTTTTTTTCCAAAAGCCAAACCTTACACCACCTTGAAGCAATCAAATACTAAATTTCTATATTTTTAAATTCACATAAAGAGAGTTGAGAAGTGACTAAGGGGGATAGAGAGCTTCCAACCATGGAAGATGTGATAGTGGAAGCCCTTCTATCTAATAAACGGGAAGCTCAAATTTTAGCTGCCAAAGAACTTGGTAAACTTGCAACCAAACTAAGACAGAAGTTAGCAGAAAGAGGGATCATTTCTCGGCTCGTTACAATGCTTCGTAAGCAAGTTTATGAAGCCACTGAAGCGGCACTCTGCTCTGCTTTGTCTAGCTTTTCACAATGAAAGGTATTGTTTGCATCAGTTAAAATTTGCAATTTTTGAAGTTGCATCCGAGGCATTGGCTGTAGAATTGTTCCCCATCTAATTTTGCTATGATTTTGCAGAAACAAGATCCGAATTGCAAATTCTGGTACCATACCAGTATTGCTGGAGATCATTCAATGCCAAAAAGAGTCATTGATTGACCTTGCAGCAGCAGCCCTCTTGGTTCTTTCTTCTTGCTTCGCTAACAAGTTAGCAATCGTAGCATCTGGGGCTGTCTGAATCCTGGTTGGATCTCTGAATTCCCAATTGGCAGAAGAACGCGGTTTCCAGAATCTAAGCGTGCAGGCTAAGCTCGATATCATATCCATATTTCACAATCTCTCCACCCATCCTCAGATAATCTCATCTATTGTTTTGGGGTGGAGGAGGAGGCGGTGGTTGGGGAAGTGAGAGTGGAAATGGTCAACATGCAAAGGATGGGAATGTGTGGGAATGTGACTGATCACCATAACGGTACGAGTTCTGGAAGTAAATGGCAATCAGGTTGCGCACTATGGAGGTAGTGGAGGAGAAGGAGGGGGTGGAGGCAGTGGTGGTGGCGGTGGCAGTGGAGGTGGAGGTGGAGGCTGTGGAAGTGGTAGTGGTGGAGGGAGAGGTGGTGGAAGGAGGAAAAGGAAAGGAAAACATACATGCGGTAGAAGGAGAGGTAGTGGTGGCGGAGGTGCTGGCAGTGGTGGCGGTGGAGATGGACGTGGAGGTGCGGGTGGAGGAGGAGGCGGTGGTGGTGGAAATGGTGGAGGCCATGGTTGGGGAAGTGGGAGTGGTGGTGGTGGCGGCGGTAGTAGTGGAGGAGGAGGAGGAGGTGGTGGTGGTGGTGGAGGTGGAGGTGGTGGTGGAGAGGGTGAAAGAGACGGTTGGGGATGGGGAGGTGAAGGAGGAAGAAACCAAGGTGGGTGTTGGGGATGGGGATGTAGCGGAAATCAACCTCCACCAAGTAAATGAGCCCTAAAACTGGGTTTGGCATTTGCAAGCGCCTAAGAAATCCAGAGATTCGGAAAAAAATTTTGGGGTTGCAAAAAGGCAGAGGGAAGAAGGAGAAGAATGTTGGTTTTCGTCCGTTGCAACATTTTTTGTTCCGTTAAAAAATGGCTCCATTCGGTTAAATCCATTTTTTTGTTGGGTTTACAGTTGGGTCTAATACCAATTTCTTCATTTCTCATCAATTGTCCTTAATTGGCCAAAATTATGTAACTTTGAGGATGAAATGTATTTTGGGTGAAATTTTGAGGATGAAATTAGTCAACAGCCCAAACTTTGAGGATGAAAAGTGTATTTTTCCCATTTGTGATTAGACCTCCAATGTTTAATGGGTCAAATTACGTGAGTTAGAAAGAAAGAATGATTATCTTTTTGCAATCAATTAATAATGAATTGTGGTTTATTGTTAGTGAAGGTCCATATAATACCTCTGTTATAGATGAAAATACTCATAGACCTAGACCAAAAACAAGAAATGAACTGACTACTGTGGATAGAATTCATCTCACCTTAAATGCAAAAGTTATGAATGTGTTATATAGTGCTTTAAACTCCAATGAATCTATTAGAGTTAAGGATTGTAAGTCAACTAAAGAAATTTGGGACAAATTGAGAGAAATTCATGAAGGTAGTGAGAATGTTAGAGAACAAAAGAAATCTATCTTGATTACTAAATATGAGTCGTTTAAGATGGAACCTCATGAAAATATTGATCAAATGTATTGTAGATTCAATGATCTTATTAAAAATTTAGAGGTTCTAGAAAAGGAATATACATTAGGAGAGAAAAATAGAAATATCTTGAATGCTCTGTCTAAAGATTGGGAAAGTAAAATGATTGCTATTGAAGAGGCAAGAGATCTGAATTGTATACCTATTGAATCTCTTGTAAATTCTCTAACATCTTATGAGTTGAAACTTAAGACCAAAGAACAGGAAGAAGAAGATGCGAAGGTAAAATGGAGCATTGCTCTAAAAGCATCTGAAGATGAAGATGATTCTGTTTCATTGGATGGAGAAGATTTGGATGTTGATGACAATGATCTTGCTCTCATCATATAAAGTTTCAGGAGAATCTTCAAGAAAAGGAGATTTAGAAGAGGAGGATCTAGCAATTCAGATTCTAATCAATTCAAC